TTCCCAGACCTGGGAAGTCAGACTTGGGTTCCAGACCAGTAGTGGGTTACCTTATAAATGTTGAAAAATTCTTCTGTGCACATGCTTTAGTATTTGAAAAATAGTACTTTTGGAAAACCACCTTGCTGAGCCCAGGTAATAAAGAAAATTGATTCTATAATAATTTATTTGTTCATAAGAAATATTTTTGAGTGTCTACTTATGTAGCAGAACCATTTGTTGGTTAATAATGCCAAGAAGGTCCTTGCCCTCCTGGAGCTCACATTCCCATGGAGAGGGCCTAATAATAACAGTACTAGAAGCAACAATAACAAAATAATAAGAAAATAAATAAACACATTATTGTATTTTATTTATTATGAAGGAAGTAAGATGTTACAAAGGGGAAAAGTTGATAAACTTGTTCTGATTGATTAGGAACTGTTTTTTATTTGTTCTGTTTTGCTCAGTTGGAATCAAACAAGAGCATCATCAAAGGCAAAACCAAAAACAAAACCAAATGAACAAATAAGTCTCTAAGGAAGCAGAATGAAGCTCATCACAAACAGCTGCGGAAGTAAACTTGAATTGCTGCCAAGGAGGAGAGCAAAGTCTATCTCCACCAGACTAAGGTCAGTTAGTGCTTCATTACTCTCTATAGGTGTTTAAAATTCAAAATTATTTTTAGAACTTTTTAAAATTTGTACTTCTCTAATTTTCGCTTTTCCAAGCTGCTTGGTATGGAAGGCAAAATTTACTTTTTAAAATTTTTTGGCGTTATGAAGGGTAGAATTGATTGGTGGCTGCCTAAACGTAAGTGGATTGGAAAGACTGGCTAAACCACCAGTCTAAATGTTTTCCTAAGTAATCTATTTTCGAAGTAATTGGCATAAAGTAAATTTTACTTTCATTTTTGATCTCTTCAAAAGTTATTAACAAATGTTATAAATCCTCATGTATGAGATGCAGGAATTGAGCCATGATTTCAGCCACTATCATATGCACTTGAGTTTATATAATTCAATTTGGTGATGAATTATTAGGGTAAGCAGATGTCTATTTTTCAGAATTTTATTATGGTAAGTCTTCCTATCAGGTAAATTCACGATTTTCATTTATTTGATTTCCATGGATAATTTGGCATATTTTAAAGAAAGGTGGACATTCAAGAGATCGATTAATAATAAGTACTTCTGTTTTTTAACTTTAACTTCAGAGTTAAAAGGTAAAACTTATTTTCCACAGAATAAAGATTTAATTATACATTTCTGCCAGCTTGTTTGTGTGAGCCGTAGATAGAATGAGACGTGAAAGAAAAAGGTGTAATAAGAAAATCAAAATGGGAAAAACTATGGAATGGCAGGAAGAGTTAAGGTCCTTCCCCAAACTCCTTAATTATGGGTCTCTCATGTCAGGGTTAAGAATGGACTTTAATCAATGTTTTGGCACAACTCAATTGTGTGGTGGTTTAAAAAGTGATAGACTATGATAGATACACAGGGATTTAGCAATTTTTACTAAAACTTTCCAGGAGATGGGCCTTGACAGAAAGGGATTGATGAAGGGCACACATACAAGTCAGGATTAGAATCTAATTCCCTTCATCAGGTCTGGGCTTCTTTCACTGTAGGGGAGCCAGAAATCACCTCCAAAGCCCCTTTTTAGCTCGTAGCGGGCTCTTCTGCTGGATCTAGAAATTAAAGTGGT